CGGAGGCGGTGCTGGGGCCTCGTTCGCCGCCCCCAAGATGTCGGCGGCGGCCTGGTCGCGCCCGGCGTGACGTAGTCAGGCCCCGCCGCCGGGAGGGAGGCGGGGGAGCGGCCGGAGGGGAGCAGGAGGAGGCGGCGGCGGCGGCGGGACCGGCGGGGCCCCCGGCGGGGGATTTAAAGGGACCATGGCCCTGTCGCGGCGGCTGCTGTGGAGGCCGGAGCCGGGTAGGAGGCGGCGGAGGTTGCAGCAGTGGCGCTGCCGCTGAGGGGGAGCTGCCCGGAGGGCCCGGCCCCGGGGGACCGGCGGGGTGAGTGCACCCGGAGAGCGGCGGCGCGTTATGGGGGGGGGGGGTTTGGTTTGGTCCGACGGGAGACAAAGCGGAGGGAGCCGAGCTTGGGGGGGGGGGGGGGAGGCGGCGATGACACCCCCCCGGACCCCCTGTACCGGCCCCGTCCGGGGTGCTGAAACCGGAGGGGGGGGGACCCGGGGTCTGAGGTAACCGGGAAGGGAGCGGGGGGATCCCGGGGTTGGGGGGGGGAGGACGGGACGGGACGGGACGGACCCGGGGTGTGAGGTAAATGAGAGGGGTCCGGAGGGAGCCTCAGTACCTGAGGTAACCCGGGAGGGACCGGAGGGGCCCAATGGGTCCGGGGGGGTCTGAGGTAACCGGGAAGGGACCGAGGGGTCCGGAGAGGCCCAATGGGTCCGGAGGGGTCTGAGGTAACCGGGGAGGGACCGAGGGGTCCGGAGGGGCCCAATGGGTCCGGAGGGGTCTGAGGTAACCGGGAAGGGACCGAGGGGGACCCGGGGTCTGAGATAAACGAGAGGGGTCCGGTGGGAGCCTCAGTACCTGAGGTAACCGGGAAGGGCCTGAGAGTTCCGGAGGGGCCCAATGGGTCCGGGAAGGGGGGGGGGGTCCGAGGTAACCGGGAAGGGCCCAATGGGTCCGGGGATGGGTCTGAAGTAACGTGGAAGGGATCGAGGGGTCCGGAGGGGCCCAATGGGTCCGGGGGGTGAGCTGAGGTAACCGGGAAGGGACCGGGGGGACCCCGGGGTCTGAGGTAAACGAGAGGGGTCCGGGGGGAGCCTCAGTACCTGAGGTAACCGGGGAGGGCCCAATGGGTCTTGAGGGGCCCAATGGGTCCGGGGGGGGGGGGGGGTCTGAAGTTAACCGGGAAGGGACCGTGTTGGGGTCCGAGATAACCGGGAAGGGACCCAGTGAGGTAACCAGGGAGGGGGGGTCTGGAGGGGCTCAATGGGTCCAGGGGGGTCTGAGGTAACTGGGGAGGGACTGAGGGGTCTGCAGGGGCCCAATGGGTCCGGGGGGGGGGGTCCGAGGTAACCGGAGAGGAACCGAGGGGTCTGCAGGGGCCCAGTGGGTCCTGGGGGGTCCGAGGTAACTGGGGAGGAACCAAGGGGTCTGCAGGGGCCCAATGGGTCTGGGGGGGTCCGAGGTAACCGGGGAGGAACCGAGGGGTCTGCAGGGGCCCAGTGGGTCCGGGGGGGTCTGAGGTAACCAGGGAGGGACTGAGGGGTCCAGGGCATGGGGGTCCCTGTGTGTCCAGGGGGGTACAGGGAGGCTCGGGGTGTGTTTGGGGGTGTCTGTGCTCCATTGGGGCCCCACGGCCTGGGGCAGGCAGAGGCAGCAGCCCCGGGACCCGGTGCTGGGATGGATCCGGATCCCTGCAAACGCTTCCCATGGATCCTTCCCGTGCTCCGATGGGAAAGGGACCAAGCTGTGCCAAGGGGTTCCGGCACCATCCGAGCCTGGAATCTCCATTGGGAGCTCCTCGTCCCTGTTCTCCGCTGCTTGGAGCCGGGAATGTTTCCTCTTCCCAAGCAGCTCCATGGTGGGGAGCAGGTCGGAGCGCAGGCAGCGATGACCCGGAGCACCTTTGGCTTATCCCAGCGTGGTTTGACGTTGCTTGGAATCCCTTTGGATCATCATCTTGGCACAGCTGGACATGGAATTCCCTCCCCGGAGCATGGTTTTGAGGAGGTGCCGCATGGAGGCTGGGGAAATCCCCTTCCCATGGTGCTGACCACCCTGCAGCTGAATTCCCTGCAGATCCCAGCAGTGGATCCTGCCAAAAACTCCTTGGATCCTGCCAGGACCCCTCACCACAGGATTTGCTGGAGCCAAATAGGAAGAGCTCCGCAGGGAATGCATCCTTTGCTCATTCTGGCTTTGGGATGGAGGGCCAAAAGCTGCTCTTGGTCCTAAATGAGCTTGGGTAACGCCAAGGAGGAAAATCATCCAGGATCAGCCCTGGGAGCTTCCTGGATCCTCCCTGAATTCCTTTTGTATGGATATCCTGAGTCCTCTTCATGTGTTTTTGTCGTGACTCTGATGTGTTTTGCATGGAGATGGTGTTTGTGCCACCTTGGCTGTGGTCTGGGATGGAACGGGAAAGACCGGCACCATCGTCCCGTGATCCAGTAAGGAGGAAAGGAATCACATGGAAAACCCACAGAGCTGGAATCTGCTGGCTCAGAGCGAGCTGGACCCTGTGAGCCTGGGTGTGAACTGGTTTGGAGGGGTTAAAATGGGCACAGCCTGTGCTGTGGCTCTGCTTTGCTGGGCAAGGGCCTAAAGAGGATATGGAAGATCCAAAAGAGGATGTGGAGGGGCAAAAGAGGACATAGAAGGGCCGAAAGAGCACGTGGAGGGGCCGAAAGGGGACGTGGTGGGGGGCCGAAAGGGGACGTGGTGGGGGGCCGAAAGGGGACGTGGTGGGGCCAAAAGGGGACGTGGAGGGGCCAAAAAGGGACGTGGAGGGGCCAAAAAGGGACGTGGAGGGGCCAAAAAGGGACGTGGAGGGGCCAAAAAGGGATGTTTAGAGGCAAAAGAGGATGTGGAAGGGCAAAAGAGCACGTGGAGGGGCCAAAAGAGGATGTGCAGGGCAAAAAGAGCATGTGTGTGGAAGGGCAAAAGAGCACGTGGAGGGGCCAAAAGAGGATGTGCAGGGCAAAAAGAGCATGTGTGTGGACCAAAAGAGGATGTGGAAGGGGCAAAAGAGGATGTTCAGGGGCAAAAAGAGCACGTGGAGGGGCCAAAAGAGCACATGGAAGGGACAATAGAGGATGTACAGGGACAAAAAGAACGTGTGGAGGGGCCAAAAGAACACATGGAGGGGCCAAAAGAGGACATGAAAGGGGCAAAAGGAGGATGTGCAGGGGTAAACAAGCACAGGCGTGGGCAAAAAGAGTACATGGAAGGAGCAAAAGATGTGGAGGGGCCAAAAGGAGCCATGGAAGGGCCGAAAGGATCTGTGGAAGGGCCGAAAGGATCTGTGGAAGGGCCAAAAGAGCACGTGGAAGTGCCAAAGGGACCCATGGAAGGGTGAAAAGGACTCGTGGAAGGGCCAAAAGAGCACATGGAAGGGCCAAAAGGAGCCGTGGAGGGGCCAAAAGGAGCCGTGGAAGGGCCAAAAGGAGCTATGGAGGGGCCAAAAGAGCCCATGGAAGGGCCAAAAGAGCCCATGGAAGGGCCAAAAGGAGCCGTGGAGGGGCCAAAAGGAGCCGTGGAGGGGCCAAAAGGAGCCGTGGAAGGGCCAAAAGGAGCCGTGGAGGGGCCAAAAGAGCACATGGAAGGGCCAAAAGGAGCCGTGGAGGGGCCAAAAGCCGTGGAAGGGCCAAAAGGAGCCATGGAGGGGCCAAAAGAGCACATGGAGGGGCCAAAAGGAGCCGTGGAGGGGCCAAAAGGAGCCGTGGAAGGGCCAAAAGGAGCTATGGAGGGGCCAAAAGGAGCCGTGGAAGGGCCAAAAGGAGCACGTGGAAGGGCCAAAAGGAGCCGTGGAGGGGCCAAAAGGAGCCGTGGAGGGGCCAAAAGGAGCCGTGGAGGGGCCAAAAGGAGCCGTGGAGGGGCCAAAAGGAGCCGTGGAGGGGCCAAAAGGAGCCGTGGAAGGGCCAAAAGGAGCCGTGGAGGGGCCAAAAGGAGCCGTGGAGGGGCCAAAAGGAGCTGTGGAAGGGCCAAAAGGAGCCGTGGAGGAGCCAAAAGAGCACATGGAAGGGCCAAAAGGAGCCGTGGAAGGGCCAAAAGAGCACATGGCCAAAAGAGCACATGGAGGGGCCAAAAGGAGCCGTGGAGGGGCCAAAAGGAGCCGTGGAGGGGCCAAAAGGAGCCGTGGAGGGGCCAAAAGGAGCCGTGGAGGGGCCAAAAGGAGCCGTGGAAGGGCCAAAAGGAGCCGTGGAAGGGCCAAAAGAGCACATGGAAGGGCCAAAAGGAGCCGTGGAAGGGCCAAAAGGAGCCGTGGAAGGGCCAAAAGGAGCCGTGGAGGGGCCAAAAGGAGCCGTGGAGGGGCCAAAAGGAGCTGTGGAAGGGCCAAAAGGAGCCGTGGAGGAGCCAAAAGAGCACATGGAAGGGCCAAAAGGAGCTATGGAGGGGCCAAAAGAGCACGTGGAAGGGCCAAAAGGAGCCATGGGAGGGCCAAAAGGAGCTATGGAGGGGCCAAAAGAGCACATGGAAGGGCCAAAAGGAGCCATGGGAGGGCCAAAAGGAGCTATGGAGGGGCCAAAAGGAGCCGTGGAGGGGCCAAAAGGACCCGTGGGCCAAAAGGAGCTATGGAAATGCCAAAAGAGCACATGGAAGGGCCAAAAGGAGCCGTGGAAGGGCCAAAAGAGCACATGGAAAGGCCCCTATAAAGGGGGATCCAAGTCCCAGCCAAAGTCTTCCTTAAGTCCAAGTCTTCCTTAGGCTCCAACCTGGGGGCTCCTGGATCACGAGCTCCTCCTGGAGCCACTTGGCCTTGGGGAAGGGCCCTGTTCCCTCCGGGACTTCCAGGGCAGGGAATGATTGTCCCCACTTAACCGGTTTAGCATTTAAATTGTCCCGTTCCTGCTCCGCCTTTGGGCTGATGGGTGGGGGAAGGGATTCGTCTGTCTGGCTCCCACCTTGGCAGAGAGCAGAGCTTGGGAAGCGACCTTGGGAAGAGGCTTTGGAGACATCACGATGAGCACCGGAGTCTTTTAGGATGTTGGTATGGAGCACATTGGAATGGGGGGGGGTAAGGGGTGGGGGGTGGGGGTGGAATCTCCTTGTTTTTCCCTATCCTGGTGAGCTTAAACCCACATACCCCCCCCCCCCCATGTGTTTTTGGGAAGGACGGTGGCACAGCACATGGATGCAGCCGTGTTTTGGGAAGAATCAAAGGGAAAAGTTGAGGAAATCCATGCCTTACAGAGCAAGGTGGGGGTGTGACACTGATGTCATTCCCCCCCCCCTCCCTGGGTCTGTGCTGGGTTTGGGGTTGTGGTGGGGGTGATGCTGAGCCTGATTCCAAGGATTTGGTGTCATTCCCAGCTTGGGGAATTTGGCACGGCTGCTGTGGTGAGGAGCAAAGGTTGGGATGGAGCGCCCTTCCAAAGGGATGCGGGGGTTCAGTGCTGGGGAAAGGAGGTGGCAGCTTCCAGTGGGATTCTCCCAATGGATTCAGGCCTGGAGTTGGCTCAGATCAAACCCACAGGCCCCCCAAAATGCAGTTTTTAAATATAAACCCATTTTGGGGTGTTTTTCACCCATTCTCACCTCGATGGATTTCCCCCCCCTGGCTTGGGAATGCACCAGGATCTCCAGCTGGATGAAGATGTGGCTGTGATTAAGAAGGGAAAACTCTACCTTGGCTTTTCCAACCCTGGATCCCAGGTTCTCCTGCCTGTCCTCCCCCCCCCCCCATGCCTTTCCTTGCAGTGGGGTGGCACATTTTGGGACGATTCCTTGCTGTTTGTTGGGAATTACAAAGAGGAAAGTTGGTGCCACGCTGGAACAACACAATGTGGAAGCTTCTCCAATGCTCCTTGTTGGCACCACGGATGAGCCACTGGTGGGAGAAGTGGTAAAAGGGGAATGCTGTGTGTGTCCGACTGGATTGAAGCTGGATGGTGGTTAAAGATGAAGCCAGTGTGGGGAGAGGGGGTGGCTTCATCCCAGTGGAGCATCCCTGATCCCAGCAAACCCCTGGACATCCACAACTTGGGCTTCGCTCCCCAAAATCCTCCCATGGACATGGAGCAAGCATCGATGCAGAGCCAGTCGTGACAGTGAGAGCATCCTGCCAGCACTGGGTGCCAAGTGGGGGTGCTTCCCAAGGAATATCCCTACATCCAAAGCCAGCTGGAGCACCTGATCCTCACAAATGAAAGCCTCTGGCACGTGGAGCAGCCATAGGAATGAGCTGCATTGATTTTCTCTTTTCCCTTCTTATGGGCAAACTCAACCCACATTCCCTGGGGGAGCGTCGGGATTCCAGGTTGGCATTTCGGGATGGCTGCAGGCTGTCGGTTGGGGTTTGCTCCATCCCTTTTCCTCCCTCAGCCCCCGGGGCAGGAAAACTCCTTGTGCCAGCTTGAAATAATTCCCTCTTCATTTGCATTCCTTACCTTGAAGGTATTTATAGGCTCTTCTCCAGGGTAAATTTAGCTCCTTCCTCTCCTCCCGTGTGCCTTTATACTCCCATGGAGCTGATAAGCCCTTTAGTGCCTCTTTCCTCCTGGTTTTCCCTTCTCTGCCTGGATCTGGATTCAACCCATGCAGCAGAAAGCAGGATCCTGAGCTGATCCTTTTATTTCTCCCAGTGATCCCAGTTTTCACCCCTTCACAGCAGGATCTCACCCTGGAAAGTGTTTTGGGGTGAGGGGTTGGCACTGGGGGCATCCACACTCGAGTGGCCAGCATTTGGTTGCCCCTTTGAGGGGTCCCAAACCCTTCAGGGGTCCCCCAGTCTGAAGGTACCCATCCACTTGGATTCATCCAGGGGGAAGGATGCAGCACAGCATCCCAAACCCCCCCCCCCCCCCATCCTGGGTTTGGGGATAGCTGGTGGCAGAGCCAAGCTTTGGCTTTCCCATCATGGGATGGAATTCTGGGGGGATAAAGGAGCAGTTTGAGGGTGACTGGTGGGGGGTTTGGGAAGTGCATGGCAGGGAATGGTGGGGATGAGCATGGAGAGCAAATTGGGGTGTGGGGAAGGGGGGGGGAGGCTTCATATTGGGGTCCATCAACTCCAGCAGGGACCCAGCACCAAGGAGCAAGTGATGGGACCCGACGTCTCGCCTGCTTCTGGGCCACCAAGAGCTTTGGTGACCACAGTGAGGCCTCGAGACCCAGAGCAGCCCACCAAAACCCAGCTTCCCTTCTCATGGCCTCCTCTTGTATCCCTGCTTCCTTCCAGGTCTGGCCGTGGGTCCCTGGCCATTGGCGTTCCCGAGTGCTGGCGTGGGGCTTTCATCCGAGTGACCCAGCACAATCCTCAAGGGATGGAGAAAGCTGTCCCGAGCTTCTCAGAGCGCCAAGGAGATGGAGGCAGAGCCCTGTTGATGCCACCAGAGCCAAGCGACGAGACTTTTCCTCCTCTGGAGTGTCCCCAAGGGGAAGAGCGGAGAGCAGCTTTCCTGCAGGATGCAAAGAAGCCCCTGGAAAACCCTGGGAGCTCATTGGAAACGGAGGCAGAGCTTGAGGAAGATGCTTTCTATGCTGAGGATGACCTGGAGACCATGAGCAGGGAGGGGAAGGGACCCTCCAGTGTTGAGCTGTGCCCATTGCAAGAGGAACCTGACTTCTTCTCATCGCTGGCACGTCAGGAGCCCGACGTCGCCCTGGAGGCTGACGACGTTGCTGGTGAGTCCCTGGTTGGTGCCATTGGGGTGGCTTTTGGGGATGGGGATGAGATCAATGGGATGAGGTTCAAGAAGGCTCAGTGCTGGGTCCTGCCCTGATCCCGTGCAGTGCTCCAGGCTTGGGGAAGAGCAGCTGGAAACTGCTCGTGGAAAAGGAGCTGGGGGTGCTGGTTGATGGAGCTTGTAGTCAGGAGTCTCCAGTTGGTCTTGGTGTCCACGTGGGTGTTGAGATGTTGGCTTTGACTGTTCAGATGGAGCTGTTCTGGCCAACTCCTCATCTTCTCAACGTGGTTGCTCCAAGTTGTCTGTAGGTCCCTGGTTGTCCGGTGTCTTTAGAGGATTAACCCTCTCCTGCCTCAGTTTCTCCATCAACCCAATGCCAAATGCTGGGCAGATGCCACCACCCCAAGTCCTGCCTGAACCCCTCCATGTGTTTGCTCTCCTGTCCTTCCCCATCCCTGCTGGGAATTAGGTGGCCATGGAACCCACCAGTGGCCTCTACTTGTCCCCTGGCTGGTGGGTGGCTTCGTTCCCATCTGGAATGGGAGTTTCCATCAACAGGATTGACTTCAAACCTCATCTCCTGTTTTGCAAACCCCCATCACTGCCTCCCAGCTGGAGAAACCAAAGTGAAATGGCCCCAAATGCCCCAAAACAGAGGCACACCAGGCTAAGAGCCTTATGGGGTGGGAAGACCCCACACAGAAACTTGTGATGCCACCAACCTGAAGGCTTTGGGGCTTTTCTGATGTGCTTTGGTGGCTTTATTCTGCTCCATTGGGCTTTGAGCTGAGCAGGAGGAAGGAATTCCTATTGCTGGTGGTGGCACCTGAACCTTCCCCAGCACCAAGAGTGGTGCAGAACCCTTCCTATGGCCTTTTGGGGGCTTCTTTCCCTTTCCTTGCTCCTTGGGGGGGGGGGGGGGGGGGGGGGGGGGGGGGGGGGGGCTGGTTTTGGCTGTTCCTTGGAAGGTTTTGGGGAAGCTGTAAGACAATGGGGACTCAGAACCAGTTGTGGTAACTCGGGGTTGTGCGTGGCACCAACAGGGTCTGAGATGCTCCAGCCTTCACCCCATCACTGTATGGGGCTCATCCCTGTCCCTCCGTGGGGTGTTTGGGGATGCTGCTTCCCTATGGGACCCACAGGGTGGGATCTGAATGGTTGAGCCTTTATCTCCATGCTCCTGGTCCCGCCTTGTCCTTATCAGCCCAGCCAGGAGGGATTTCCTCCCCATATCAGCACAGGGATCATGGGAGCGGTTGGAGCTGTGGTCAGAGCCCATCCACCCCCCACCCTCATGGCTTGGGGGTGCCCGTGGAGAAGCTGGTGCCCTCAGTGTGTCCCCCCATGGCCCCAGAGGTGATGGAGCCTGAGGAGGTTCCACTGGAGGTGAGGGGAGGTTCTGGAGGAGGATTTGCCACCGTGGCACTGGGAATGGGGAGGTTGAGGTTGTGGTTTGGGCTGCACTGTGGGGTGGATGGTGCCATGAGGTCCCTGATGTGGGGACATGTTGTTTTGGGGTTGCTGTGGCACTGTGGGGTGTCCCAGGGTCTCCAGTGTCGGAGCGGTGTCACCAAGGCCCCTGATGTGGGGCCACATGGGTGCCCTGGAGATGCTGTGATGCCACAAGGTAGAAGAAGAAGGAGCTTTTGTGGGGCTGGTGTGAGGTTCTGGACCCCAAATCTGGGGTTTGGTGGGGTTGATTGGGTTTTGATGTGCATTTGGTGGAGTTTGATGGGGTTTGATGAGGTTTGATGGGATTTGGATGTGCATTTGGTGGAGTTTGATGGGGTTTGGATGTGCATTTGGTGGAGCTTGATGGGGTTTGATGAGGTTTGGATGTGCATTTGGTGGAGTTTGATGGGGTTTGGATGTGCATTTGGTGGAGTTTGATGGGGTTTGGATGTGCATTTGGTGGAACTTGATGGGGTTTGATGGGGTTTGGATGTGCATTTGGTGGAGTTTGATGGGGTTTGGTGAGGTTTGATGGGGTTTGGTGGGGTTTGATGGGCATTTGATGGGGTTTGGATGTGCATTTGGTGGAGTTTGATGGGGTTTGATGAGGTTTGATGGGTATTTGATGGGGTTTTGATGTGCATTTGGTGAAGTTTGATGGGGTTTGGTGGGGTTTGATGAGGTGGGATGGGGTTTAGTTGGGAATGGGTTTAGTTGGGATTAGGTTTAGGAATGACCCTGGGGGAAGGTGCTGGCTTGTCCCACCACCTCAGCACTCTCTGGTCCCATGGGGCTGCAGCTTGTAGGTCTCTTTCTTCCTGTATCCTCTCTTAGGAGGTGTGGGATGTGATGGGCACCGGTGCTGCGTGTGTTGGGAAGTTGTTCCCATCCATATGTCCAGCTTGGGGTGGTTTGGGATCCATCCATCCTTGTGTTGGCATTCATTTGCCACTGGGGAGTACTGATGCTCAAGTGCATCCCACCTCTGGGGTGCTGGGAAGAGCCTGGGGTGTTGGGTTTGGGACAGAGCTTTGCTCTTGGTGGTGGCCTCTTGTCCCCAAGCAGGACATGGGTGTTGGGCTTGGGTTGTGTCACCTACCAACAGAGGATGTGTGAGGCTCCTGAGGTGCTGTTGCTTGTCCCACCTCTTCCTGATGGATGTTCCAAAGAGCATTGGATGAGCCTCCTTGGGGACTTGGAGCAGAGGCCTGGAGCAGTTGGGTTATGGGAGCCTGGGATATCAACTGAACAGGATGAGGAGGTCAGAGTATCCTCAGCCCTTCCAGTGCTGGGGTTTCTCCTGGATCTGGGCTTTGGTGGGGGCTGAGACCTCATGGCACCACCCTAGTTTTAGGTGGGAAGCACTGGAGTGGGTTTTGGGGTGAAGCTCGTTGTTCTTGCATGGTGGGTCCCCATGTTGAGCTGCTCCAGCCTAGGAAATGATGCTTTGGTTTGATCTTGGCTTGAGCAGAGAGCTCTGAGCCTTTGGTGTAGCCCATCCCAGGGTGTGTTTGCCAAGTGCTGGGCCGCTTTATGGCCCATCCTTGAGCCCCATCCAGAGCAGGTATCCAAGACATGAGACCAAACACCTGTTGGAGGTGCAGCTCCTCCTAATCTTGCCTTAACTCCTAGGACAGCCCCAGTGCCTCTTCCTGATGTTCCTTACCCAGGCCCATAAAATCCAGGCTGGTTTCCCCCCTTATCTCCTTCCTTGCTGGAACTGGGCTGAGTTTAAGCTCTTGGCCTCCCTGAATTGGGAGGTTCTGCTCCCATTCCCAGTGACCTTCCCGACTGCTCCCACTTGGATGCTGCCAGGAGAGATGTCATCTTGTTGCCTAGCAAGTAAATAACTGAAGGCTCGAGGCCAGGACAAGAGGCAGGGCTTGGCCAGAGCTGGGATGTGCAGTGCACTTGGAAATCTGGAAGTTGGATGGAAACCCCCCACGCTGCATCCCTGTAACAGTGAATCTCTTCCCAAAGAGCCCCTGCTCTCTGGTGAGACCCCACTTGGATGCTGCATCCAGCTCTGGTGTCCTCACAGTAAGGACATGGAGCTGCTGGAGCAAGGTTAAGGAGACCACAGGGATGAGCAGGGGCTGGAGCAGCTCCCACATGGAGCCAGGCTGAGGACATTGGGGCTGGAGAAGAGAGGCTGCGTGGACACCTCGGAGCAGCTTCCAGTGATGAAAGGGGCTCCAAGGATGTGCATAGGGAGCTTCATCAGGGACAGGACAAGGGGTGATGGGTTCCAAGTGGAACAGGGAAGTTCAGCTTGGAGATAGGGAAGTTCTTCCCTGGGAGGGTGCTGGGATACTGGGATGGGTTGGATGGAGAAGGTTTGCCTGCCCCATCCCTGGCAGTGTTCAAGGCCAGGTTGGATGGGGCTTGGAGCAAGCTGCTCTAGTGGAAGGTGTCCCTGCACATGGCAAGGGGATGGAACTGGATGACCTTAAGCTCCTTGCCACCATTCCATCATTCCATGACTTTGGGGGTCAGGAGCTTTGCACCCATGCCATGGGCTAAGCCCCAGCGCAAGGATTTGGTTGAGTGCTTGGTTTGAGATGCGGTCCTCAAGCATCCCACCAAGAGGATGGAGAGGGTGGGCTCAAGCTGTGGCCTCACATGGACAAGGTGTGTGGTGGTGGTTGGGGGGGGGGGGGTCCTGCCTGGTGCCTGTGGTGATTCTTGGTGCCCAGGGAGAAGGGCTCATCCCAACCCTCATCCCAGCACCTGCCGTGCCTGTCTTTTGGTGCCTATAAATAACTCCCAGCTCCGCTCCCGTTGCTCCTGGAACTGGGCCACGGGATATAAATAGGCTGGGGACAACTCTGGGCATGGCCAGGGATTCTCCTGGTGCCTCTGCAAAGTAGGACATGGCCCAATCCTGCTTCTCCACTGGGTGCTGCACTGCTGCGACTCTGCTTTGTGGCCTGGCAAGGTCTTGGCTGGGGAAGGGGGGGAGTGAGTGTTGGGGTTTGGGGTGGTTTGGTTGGGTGCAGCACCCCTGGGTGCTGTCCTGCTCCATCCAGGTTCTCCAGGGATGTGGCAAACCTGGAATCTGATGGTTTCGCCTCAGTATCAGTGGGATAAAAGCTCTTCAGGAGCGTGGCTGTGGCAAGAGGACGCTGGTGCTGGGTTAAGCTGGGGATGGAGAGGCTTTGCACTGGGCCTCCTGCAGCCATGTGTCTGGGCAGGGTCATGGTGGATAACCCCAAAATGCTTGGATTTAGGTGTTTTAACAGCAAAAAGGGGATAAAAGGACCTCTTGGCTGATGATGTTGATCCCTCATGGACAGGGATGAAGGGAAAGCAAAGCCTTTAACGTCAGTGATGGGCCCTGGGAGCACCATAGGTGCTGGCCCACAAGTGGGGAGCAATGATCTCCCAGTTGAGTTTGATCTGTATGGGATTTGCTGACACAATTCCATGCCTGGAAGTGGCCCGATGGGATTCATCCAGCTGGCTTTGTGGGACCTTTTGGAGGCTCTGGAGAGGTGCCTCTGTTCCACAGCATCCTTCTGGACTGCTTTTTGAGGGGTTTAAACC